GTGGAACTTGGGAGGTTCTTGGCCGAGGCCCTCACTGTGAGGAAAGAAGCCAGGTGGGGAGAAGAGGGGTGAGCTGTGGTGGGGGTGGGCGCGCCATCTGTACACTGCCTGCAGGTCTTGGACATGAACATGTGGAGTCCATGTTCATGACATGTTTCCCACATGAACACACAGAGCTCCCTCACCCAGAACCCTTCCAGCCAACATCAGCCACACAAATCGGTCAAAAGCCAATAAAGACTATCATCCTGCCCAGCTCCTACACCATCCCCAAAGGGAGCCTGGGCCTCGAGCTCAGAGGTGAGCTCCTGCAGCAGGCATGGAGTAGAAAGGAGAAATCCAGCTGACGCAGGTCGCCTCTTTGCGCTTCCAGGCGGGGGTCCAGAGCAGGTGGGGGCCTGCCCTGAGCCCAGCCTCACACCTCCCCGGGCACAGCCAGGCCTGCCTGACTCAGAGGGTGGGGCGACCCAGTGAGCTCTCACTGCCCGGGGCACTGCTGGGGACCTGTCTGGCCAGTTTCCCCAAACTTGCCACATCGGCATTTAATTTTTAATTCCTCACATGTATCACCCTGGGGATGGTTTCATTCAGACCAGGCGAGGGCAAGAGGGAACCCCGGAGAGAAGTATAACCCTCCCACAGCCAGCTGTTTATCAGCTCAGCTCGGGAAAGCTAAGGACAGGCTCTGGCTTGAGGACTGGGCCTGGCTTCCCCTTGGAGGCAGAAACAAATGGGGAGAAAGGATTCTTCCCCCCCGCAGCCCAGGTCCATACAGTGGGACCAGACGGAGAGGAAATACGGGCTCTGGTCCCACTGCTGCCTCTATTGAGCTGTGCGACGACAGGGCAGGACCCTCCGTTCCTGGGCTCCGGTTTTCCCATCTGGATCAGCACTGAGGTCCTCCCCAGCTCTGAAGCTTGCTGATTGTGACCGAGTTCCTCATAGCTCTCTGAGCAGGACGTAGGGCGGCCCTTGGTAGCTGGAATGCTGCCCTTGACAGAGGTGGAAGCAGAGCTCGAGGAGTGACCCTTGTGTTGAAGGGCCCGGCTTCAGGGGGCCTCCAGAGAGCTGACCACGCCTCCTAACAGTGGCCTGGGGAGTTACTTTAGCAGAGAAAGTCACAGCAGGGGAGACCCTCCCTTGGGTGAGGGGCAAGGACTTGTGCCAGTTACTCTGGGACCAATCAGGTCCAGACCCAATTGCCGAGGGATCGCGAGGTCCTTTTAATGACTGGCCTATGGCCACTGGATGTCTGAGAAAGTATGTCTTAGTCCTCTGAATTCACCACCTCAGACAGAGTGAGGAAGCTCCAGGGAGGGGGCAGAAGCACCTGCTGTTGTCCTCACCCCCCATCTAGCCCTCTCTTCCCTTTGCAGGCCTGTGTGGGAAACCGACAGTGAGGCTGCATTCGGAAGACGACCTAGGTCCAGACAGAGCTCAGAAAGAGCTCGCGGGTCCTGTGCCTGGCTTCTCGGAGCTGCTGCCTCCCCTGCCCCAGTGCAGCAGGGCCCAGGAGGTGCCCTCCCAGCATGGGAAGGGAGGACAGGGAAGCGTGAGGCCAGGCTGGTTTGGGACAGTGCCACTCCCCACCCACCCTGACTTGGACGGACTGGGGGACGGGTGTGGGAGGGTGTGTCTGTGTGTGAACCACACCCACAGGAGCTCTGTCTTCTCGCTGCTCCTCACTCTCCCCACCTCCTGCCCCAGCTGGAAGAGAGCAAAGGACAGGGCCTAGCGCCTAAGGGACAGGAGTCAGAGTCCCCTCAACCCAGGAACAGGCGATAAAGATTTGGGGGTTGATCTGTATCTCGTGACCTAAATCAGGAGCACAGAGATGTCCCAGGGATTGGAGCCATCAGGCCAAAGGCTCCGAATCGAAAGTTGCCTCATAGACGGGCTTCCAGGGGCCTAAGAGCCCTCTGCTAAAATTATAAGCAAAATCATGCACATGTGTCCCAGAGCTCCATCACTGTCTCAGAGGGGTCTGTGACCTGAAAGGGACAAGGGACCTGGCGCCCAGCAGGCCCCAGCAGCCGGCCAGGGGTTCTGAGAGGCAGACAAGGAGATGCAAGCGGTTCTGCAAGCTGGTTGTGGGAGGGAGATAAAAGCTTCTAGATAGTGGGTGGAGGGGAGAGTAGAAGGGCTTGAAAAGAGCTTGGGTCCTGGAGCCTGGCTGCAGTGGTTCAAATCCCAGCTCTGCCACTTAGGAACTGTGTGACCTTAAATGAGTTACTGCCACATTCTGTGCTTCACTTTCTCCATCTGTAAAATGGGAATAGTGTCTGTCACAGAGGCCGCTCCACCTGCCTTTCCCCATTCAGCTGGCACGGAAGGCATGGGGCGAACTTCCCCATCGGGGTCCAGTTCCCATCTCTGTAAAATGAGGCTGGTGTGGATGTGCTGAGACCCTTTGAGTTGGCAGTTCTCCATGAGTTCATTCTCTCACCCCCGGGCGAGGGAGGGGTGTGAGTGTGCTGGGGAGAGGTCCCCCTGTCCTGGGACTGGCTCTGAGGCTTGCCTGGAAGGACCACTCCCAGGAACTCCAGCCTGGCCAGCCAGCCAAGCCCCCTCCGGTTACTCCGGACAGAGTCAGGCCCTGGTTACCCCAAACCAGATCTAACCAGAGTGTCCAAACCAGAGCTGAGGAAAGAAGGCTGGGACTTGCCCTGGTCACCAAAGGGAACCAAGTAGGTGGGGCATACAGGATACCAGCCAATCAAAATAAACTCAGCTGTGCTGCATTAACCCTTTGGTTGCTGGTTCAGATCTGAGAGAGAACCCAGGACAGCAAGAGCCAATCAGGGGGCAACAGCCATTTATTTCCGTATTTAACAACTAGAACAGGTATGGGTGTAAGCCCTGGGCTCAGACCTCTGATTCTGCGTGTGTTTGCAGGGGGTACATGAGAGGAGAGAATGCAATACCTCCAGCAAAAGAAAAATCTCAAAATCATTTGCTTTGCGTTTTATGACCCCCGTAACAGTTTTATGCACCTCTGGAAACAAAGGTAGGGGCTGACTCATTTGCTTTATACCTCTTTGTTGGTGGTGTACTTTCTGTGTTTGTCTATAATGTCTATGAATTGTTTTTATAAGCAGAAAATAAATTATTCAAAGTTGTATTTCCAGAGATCTGTGTGGATATAGCAAGGAAGATGTAAGACTCATTCTCTCCCATCTAGAATCTCAGAGTCTAGTTGGAGAGGTTGGACAAGCCAGAAAACAACAACAACAACAAAAATGGTGACAGAGAGAGGCGGCTGTGCTAGGCAGTGCTGGGCAGAACCAGCCGGTACACCAGCCAAGGTGTGGGGTACCTGAGGCCTAACAGGCTCCTGAGAACGGAGACTGGGATTTGGTGGCTCATCAGTCTAGGTGGTACAAATCCTCATTGACATCAGTAACAATGTTGTCACCACCAGGACCCATCTGACAGACAGCAGTGAACCTAGAATTTATGGGGCTGACTGCTTAGGCTCTAGTCCAATGCAGTGGCCACTGGCCACAGGTGGCTACGGAGCACGTGAAATGTCACTAGTCAGAAATGGGATGTGTATGCTCTAAGTGCAGGACACCAGATTTTAAAGACGTTGTATGAGCCCTAAGAATCCTGAAACACCAATTCAAAAGAATCTATGCACCCCTATGTTCATAGCAGCGTTATTTACAATAGCTAAGTGCTAGAAACAGCCTAAGTGTCCATCAGTAAATGAGTGGATCCAAAAACTGTGGTGCACTTATATAATGGAATACTACACAGCAGAAAGAAAAAAGGAACTCCTACCCTTTGCCACAGCATGGATAGAACTAGACAGCATTATGCTAAGTGAAATAAGCCAGGCGGCAAAAGTGAACACCTATGATCTCACCTGTAAGTGGAACCTAATCAACAAAACAAACAAATGAGCAAATAGAACCAGAGGCATTGAAACAAGGAACATACTGACAGGGACCAGAGGGGAGGGGGGAGGGGGATAAGAGAGGAAGGGAGAGGAAGAGCCTAGTTAAACAAGTATAAATGCCCCATGGACATGGACAACAGTCTGGGAGCAGGGAGTGGGGGCAGGGCAGGGGAGAGTAACGGGGGAAAATTGGGACAGCAATAATAAAACAACAACTAAAAAAAAGACAGTGTATGAGAAAAGAATGTCAAACATCTCATCAGTATTTTTCACATTGATTAAATGTTGAAAGGAAAATCTTTTGAATATATTGGGTTAAGTAAAATATGTTATTAAAATTAATTTTACCTATTTCTTTTAAGGTAAAAAATTTCAAATTACTTACGAGGCACACATGATATTTCTATTGGGCAGTGCTGGTCTAGGCTGCCCCAGAAAACCCAGGCAATCTCATCACAGCAAGCAGAACCAGTCACAGAGCAGCCTCCCTTGTCAAAGAGCAGAAGCCCAACCACAGGCTCTAGAAGGGAGTTTTTGGTTTTTTGCAGTTTCAGACCTATAAGCAAATCTGTCCCAAATGCCCTTCTCACAAGGGTGACTGCTCTTTGTCCTTTGAGACAATTCAAGTGTCACCTCTTCCAGGAAGTCCTCCTAGACCCCTACTGCTGGATCAACTGCCCCATCTGTTTATTTACTCGTGAACTGCCTGGGGAGCAGCTATCTTGGCTCAGTCACCTTCTCATCCCAGCATCTAACGCAGGGCCTGGTACGGAGCAAACAGCCATCAATGACCGTGAATATAAATCCCATTTAGCTAGAGGTACCCACCACTACATTGCCTTTGCACACAAGTTCCCCATAACCTCTCCCTGGGTTTTGACTAGTGGAGATGACACCCTTAATCCCAGCCTTTCTGCCGTGAGTCTCAGCCATGCCTCCTCCTAGTAGCCACCCTGGGTTGGCATCAGGAAGGAAAGAAATGAACAGAGAGTGAGGCTGATGTCCACTAGCCCAGGGCAGGTGGGGCTCCCTCCTCCATGGTGGCCGAGGTAGCCTGTCCAGAGCAGACCCTTAGGCCCCAGAGCAGAACCGTACTCACCAGTGGAAGGAAGGTCAGTAGGGGCCGAACTCTTGGCCGAGCTTTCAGCGTGGCTGTTCCTGACTCGCTGACCACATCAAACCGATTGTCTCCATAATAAATCCCATCTAGAGGAGACAAGTGAGGGCAGACGGTGAGCGGGAGATCAAACGCATGTTGGCTACTGAGTTTAATCTGCCCTGCAGTTCCAGTGAAGAAAGCCAGGTCCTGCAGTTGTCTGTTTGACCCGGACCCTACAGATGGGGCGTGTGCTAATGGGGCAGGATTGGGAGAGAATTCAAGGGGCGGTTTCTTGGGGTTTCTGCAGCATTCCTGGGGCTCTCAGCTCCCAGCGGCCATCTGTCTCCTGATTGTACCCTCTACCGGTCTTAAGCCCTCACTCCCACAAGTCTCTCCCTTTGGGGCCCTGGGAGCTTGGCCAAGCCCCCAGCCAAAGCTTATCTCAGAGAGAGGGAGGAGAACAAGCTGGCTTTTCTCTCAAGTGTTTGAATTTCTAATCTGGAACAAGCAGAGAAGATGAAGCCACCTGCTGCCCCCACTGGCCCAGCACCCACCTTCTGGGCTCCTCCAACCCCCAACCCATCAGAGGTTGTGTGCATGGCTGCGTTTGATGCACCCTTGAGGCCAGAGCAGAAAGAGAAGGAGAGAAGGGTCCACGTGACCCAGTACAAATCCAAGCTCTGCCACTGACAGGCTGTGTCCCTTAACCTCTCTGGCCTCAGTTTTCCCATGTGTACAACTGGAGTGATGATAGTGCCAACCTCATAGGACTGTCGTGAGGAATAAGGGTGGCCAGCACATCCTAAGTGCTCAACAGATGCGGTCCCTTGCCGGGCAGGCGGGTGATAGAAGGATCTTTCTCTCCCTCCAGTTACTGGGCCTGTTCTCCAAGCCGTGTCTCCAGCAGTGGGGAGGGTGTGAGGAGCTAGCCACACTTTCTCAACTAATCTTCCTATGACCTTTAACACACATCGATAAGAATTTCACGTCGTACCTCAGGTTCACACTGTCACTTCCTAGAGGCAAGGATCACCAGTGAGCCTCTTACTATGTCACTCACAAGCAAGGGGGCTTACATACACTGAACGGGCCATGAGGGAGTTTCTCCTTCTTTATAGCCAGAGGAGAAAGAGAAGAAAGGTCAAAATCCCAATTAATCAGAATCTTACTGAACCATTAAAGGAATGGTGATTACTTTTCCCCTTGCACGTGACTTTAGGAGAAAAGGGCAAGAAAGCCAAATAGTTTACTCAAAAGAGACTGGGCTTGTCAGGGAGGTCCTGAGAGCAGAATACATCTGTCCCCGATTCCTACCGGTACAGCCAGGGCTTTCCATAGGCCAACCTGAGCTTCGAATGTGACATGGAAGCTCCTGGGAATGCCGTCTGTCTGCCGCCCTACCAGGCAGAGAGAGGGGCAGGCGTACATTTAAGACTCCCCATCTCTCCAAAGGGGCCAAAACGGCCCATTTTCTGTGTGCTCCACACATGTCAGGACACTCCAGTTCCCAGAGACAGATTCCCCAGTGCTGGCTGCCAATCTCCACACCTGAGGCTGGTGACCAGAGCTAGCGGGTGGCGGGGGGTGGGGGAAGCGAGGAGGAGATTGTAGATTTGGCCAAACCAAAACCAACACACTTAGAAATAACTGGAGACACCCGGCAGCTGCTCTGAAAGCCCACCGGATTCTCTCTGGCTCCCAAGAGTCTGGGTGTTGGCGCCAGGATCTCTGGGGACATTATCTAGATAGTGCTGTGTGGGTCTCAGATCTGATAAGGCTGCGGGCCCTTAGCAGTAGTGGGGGTGGGGAGGGGACTGACACAGGGACCCCGTGAGAGGCACACTCCCCTAGGCTGACCCTGTCTCTAATCTCTGCACAGCGTTGGGGTCTGCAGCTGAATAATCATGATATTAACCGCTCCCGTTATTGTATCTCTAGGAACTTTAAAAACAAGCAACTCGGCCAAGGCGATCACTGTGACAGTAGAAATAATATAATAATAGGTAAAACTTATGGAACAATTTTAACAGGCCAGGCATCTTATACATTATTAATTCCTTTAATTCTCAAACCAGCCCCGTGCAGTTTGCATGATCATTATCCCTGTTTTACAGATGAGGAAACTGGGATGCAGGGAGGTCTAATACCCTGCCCAAAGCCTCAGAGCATGTGGAGATGCTGGAGTCTCTCCCAAAGTGGGGGTTTCCTCATCCCACCACTTACAGGATGTAGCTGGGAGGGTAGGCGGTCCAGGAGAAGGGAAGGGAGGCTCAGCTTGGCCACAGAGGGGAGCTGGGGAGGAGTGGGAGGCGAAGCAGCTTGCCCAGGCCCAGGCAGGGATCAGGGCGCAGCCAGGTCTGACCCACACACAGGCGGGCCCTCTAAACACCTCACAGATTCCATGACTCAGCCTTGACTACCAGCACTGTTGCCTCGGTCGGTGTGTGGCTGTTTTCAGCAGGGGAATCCTTTCTAAGAACACAGCTGCTCTCTGGGAACGTCACCGAAGGGGAGGGGCTGCGGTGGGGGGAGGGGTCCCCACTGGGACACCTCTTGAAAGTCCAGTTTCATTTCCCAGTTCTAAGGTGTGGCTGAGAGTCAGGGGAGGAAAGGGTATAAGGGCAGCGGAGTCGGAGTGGTGTGATGTGAGAAAGCCTTGGCGGGCCATGGCTGCCTTCGAAGAGGGCAGCGGACCGTGAGCCAAGGACCACAGGCGGCCTCTGGAAAAGGCTGGCAACGACGAGAAAACAGATTCTGCCCCACTACCTCCAGGAAGGAACAAACTCTTGCTGACACTTTGAGTTCAGCTCAGTGAGACCTGTGTCAGACTTCTGACCTACAGAACTGTGAGATAATAAATGTATGTTGGTCCTGCAGGGTTCAAGGTCAGGGCTGGGGTATTCTGAGCCTCAAAGTCAAGGTCCAAAGCTAAACAGAAAGACAATAGAGTCCAACCCTGGAGATTTTCCCATGGAAGTAAACAAACTCCATTGGGATCACAGTGTCAGGGACACTAGAATAGGCCTTGAGAGCAGCCCCCTCCTCAACTGAGGAGGTGAAGGATGGCCAGGCCGCCTCTTGAGGAAGGAAGGGATCGTGAGGAGGGGAAGGAGGGCCAGCAAGGAGGCTGGGAAGCTTGCCCTCTGAGGACCCAATGAGGCTGCGCAATCAGAAAAGAGGGGCCTTGCCCACCCTGGAACTTGGAAACGCCTTCTGTGTCTGCCTTTTACTTGCCCCTTTCCCACTGGAAGAGCCCTTGGGGGTCTCGGAGGTTTTGAGCTTGCCTCACGGAGCAGAGAGGCAGCTGAGGAACATCCAGTGGGACTCAGAAGGCAGGAAAGAGAGCCACTGGGACTCAGAAGCTTCCAGAGAAAGGGGGCAGGCACCTTCAAGAGACCCCTGGAGCAAGTCCAGCAGCCAGGAGCCTTGGGAGACCCAGGAAGCAGCATCTGAGCAGAACCTGGGCCCCAGCGGGGCCGCAGCCCTATCTGGATAAAAACTCAAGCTTCTGTCTGGCAGATTCACCTAAAAATGACACAGTGATAAAATAGGAGAAAATCCAGGCCTGCCGCCATTTACCCAAACCTGATCATTAAAAGAATCCCAATTTTCCCGCACATGAAATCCTCTTTCTGACAGGTTTGTGCACAAGGTTCCTCACATGTGGTTACATTTCTCCCTCATAGAGTGACAGGAAATGAAGGCGGCTTTGTTTTTATTTGCACTCCCTCAAGGACTTGAGTTCACAGCAATACCACCTAATATCCAAACACCTGGTTCAGAAATAATTCTTGGTGCCACACCTGTTTCAGCAGGAAGACTTCACCTCAGATCTCAGCCTGGGGACGGCAGCTCCCTTCCTCCCAGGCGTCCTTGAGGACGCTCTGACTCTGCCATTGGCCTGAGAGGTGTTTACATTGTGCCCGAGGCTGCAGGGGCTCAGAGAAGGCCACAGCCCCTCAGCTGGGCGGGGAGGCAGGATGCGAGGTCGAGGCCACGGGTATGGGTCGCACGGGTACAGAGCTCACCTAAACTTGGGTTCCAGTCCCTGCTCCATCACTTACAAACTGTGGGGCCGTGGGAGTGGTGCTAGATCTCTCTGAGGCTGTTTCCTCCTCTGTGTCAACGTGAGCAATGATCCCTACTGGGTGGGCTGGTGTGAGGCTGAGTGGGAGCAAGTGTGCAACAGGTTGGCACAAGGCCTAGTAGATAATTTGTGCTCATTAACGGGTAGGGCTGCTTATCAACATCAAGGGTTTGGGCTGAGCTTGAATGAGGCCATGTCACTGGCAAATTATGGGTGAACACCTGTACCTGGGAGGCACGTAGCCCTTCCTTCTCTTGTCAGGGGGAACTCTGAGTCTGGACACTAGAGGCCACCCTCCTTGTAGGTGAGGACAGGAGGAGGCCCAGAGTGGGCGGGGCTGGCCCAAGGTCACAGGGAAGCAAGGGTGCCAGGGCCCATACAGGGCCCCGACTTGTAGAGCCGGGCTGCTGGCACAAATAATCAGGGCGTCACCCACAGGCACATGGCTCACTGCCCCTCCTCAGATGGGCCAACCTGGTCCCCTCCGTCTGGGGCTGCATATGTGTGTGTGAGCATGTGTATGTAAATGAGTGTTAAGTGGAGGGGGAAATGGCCAGCTTTGGGGAAGCTGAGAGCTGGGCACAAGCCCTTTTCTCTCCCTTCTCCCCCAGAGGTGGAGCCTCCTGCCAGGTATTGGGGCCTTTCTCTTCCCACAGAGTTCAGGGTTGAAACCTGGGAAAATGCTCCCAGCCCCAAAGTTTCCCCCCGGGTCTCCATGGAGGCTGAGGTCCGGATGGTTATTTAGCTCTTTACGGAAATCCTAGACAGGTCCGAACTAGAAAAATATTAATGATCAAAATGCAAATGTCTGACATTTATTAAGCTTGTATTACGAGTTAGGCTCTATTCCAAGTATCCTACACAAACCTTTATTATTACCTTTATTATCCCCACTTTGCAGATGGGAAACTGAGGCTCCGAGAGGTTAAGCGCCCTGCCCAAGGTCCCATGGGTGGTGAGTAAAAGAGGCTAGGATTCAGGCCCAGGCATCTAACTCTAGAATCTGGTTCCCTCTGGTAT